CTCCCAACACCCTTCAGGAGCATTGCATCCGCCCACCTCCATCCCTCCGTCCTGCTCTCCCAACAGCCTTCAGGAGCATTGCATCCGCCCACCTCCATCCCTCCTTCCTGCTCTCCCAACACCCTTCAGGAGCATTGAGTCCGCCCACCTCCACCCCTCCTTCCTGCTCTCCCAACAGCCTTCAGGAGCATTGCATCCGCCCACCTCCATCCCTCCTTCCTGCTCTCCCAACAGCCTTCAGGAGCATTGCATCCCCCCACCTCCATCCCTCCTTCCTGCTCTCCCAACAGCCTTCAGGAGCATTGCATCCGCCCACCTCCATCCCTCCTTCCTGCTCTCCCAACAGCCTTCAGGAGCATTGCATCCGCCCACCTCCATCCCTCCTTCCTGCTCTCCCAACAGCCTTCAAGAGCATTGCATCCGCCCACCTCCATCCCTCCTTCCTGCTCTCCCAACACCCTTCAGGAGCATTGCATCCGCCCAACTCCATCCCTCCTTCCTGCTTTCCCAACAGCCTTCAGGAGCATTGCATCCGCCCACCTTCATCCCTCCTTGCTGCTCTCCCAACAGCCTTCAGGAGCATTGCATCCGCCCACCTCCATCCCTCCTTCCTGCTCTCCCAACACCCTTCAGGAGCATTGCATCCGCCCACCTCCATCCCTCCTTCCTGCTCTCCCAACAGCCTTCAGGAGCATTGCATCCGCCCACCTCCATCCCTCCTTCCTGCTCTCCCAACACCCTTCAGGAGCATTGAGTCCGCCCACCTCCACCCCTCCTTCCTGCTCTCCCAACAGCCTTCAGGAGCATTGCATCCGCCCACCTCCATACCTCCTTCCTGCTCTCCCAACAGCCTTCAGGAGCATTGCATCCCCCCACCTCCATCCCTCCTTCCTGCTCTCCCAACAGCCTTCAGGAGCATTGCATCCGCCCACCTCCATCCCTCCTTCCTGCTCTCCCAACAGCCTTCAGGAGCATTGCATCCGCCCACCTCCATCCCTCCTTCCTGCTCTCCCAACAGCCTTCAGGAGCATTGCATCCGCCCACCTCCATCCCTCCTTCCTGCTCTCCCAACAGCCTTCAGGAGCATTGCATCCCCCCACCTCCATCCCTCCTTCCTGCTCTCCCAACAGCCTTCAGGAGCATTGCATCCGCCCACCTCCATCCCTCCTTCCTGCTCTCCCAACAGCCTTCAGGAGCATTGCATCCGCCCACCTCCATCCCTCCTTCCTGCTCTCCCAACAGCCTTCAAGAGCATTGCATCCGCCCACCTCCATCCCTCCTTCCTGCTCTCCCAACACCCTTCAGGAGCATTGCATCCGCCCAACTCCATCCCTCC